ATAGTTTCCTATGGGACGGGAAATGTAAACAGCATGCATATTTTCAGAGACACATGATTAGAGATTCATTAATTCAGACATGGAACAAGATTAAAAAGAATCATTATACTAAAATACCAAACTGGTTGTCAACAATGGAAGCACAAATATACCCAAACGCAATGGATCTGGGGAAAAAGAGGAGTTATAAAGACCTATTAGACCCACAAGGAAGATTAAAAACGAGACAAGAATTACAGCAACAAAATATAAAGATAGATTGGTGGTCATATATGCAAATTCGGGCAAGATATCAGAAGGACAAAGAACAATTTTGTTTCTGCATGGGAAAGCATCAATTAGATAATATTCTACAAGAAATGGAAAAGAAAATGATTTCAAGAATATATAACTTTCTACTAGATTTTAAAATGGAAGAGGAGATGGTCAAAGAGACGATGGTGGTATGGGTGAAAAATGTTGGCCATAATATAGACCTGGAAAATTGGGAGAGAATGTGGGGATCAAATTACAAACTAATTACATCCACAGCATTCAAGGAAAATCCACAGCATACAATATAAAATGTTCTACAGATGGCATCTTCCTCCCGCTAGATTGGCAAAAATGTTTAATTCAGACCCAAATTGTTGGAAATGTGGAAAGAAAAAGGCACTTATTTTCATACCTGGTGGACATGCCAGGAAGTGAAAAAATATTGGAATACAATTAGACAATGGATAGAAGAAATCACGAATCAGAAAAATGAATTTAATCCGGAAACTTTTTTATTAGGTATTATAATACAAAAATGCAATAAAACAGATAGATATATTATGTTACATATATTAACAGCTGCAAGGATTTTGTACGCACAAGTCTGGAAGGAAAAAAGGGTTCTACCAGAAGGCATAGTTATTAAAAAAAATAATAGATTGTATAGAGATGGACAGGCTAATGATGAAAATAAAAGACAGAGAAGATTCAATTTATTACAGGGCCTGGTATGCCTGGTATGAGTGGTTTAGAAATAAAAAGAAAATAAAATGGCAATTAGGAAAAGAAGGAGGGAATATGTAAATATGTAAATATACCATGGAGAAGATTGAGATGTAAAGACAAAAGATATTGATTTATAGTAAGAGTAAGATGTAATGGTAAAGGAATAAGTAAATACATATACTGAAAAATGTGAGGAAATGCAAAAGATGTCTTGATGTTGATAACAATGTATAAAGTTTTGTTTTATGTTTTTTAAAATTTGGAAAATTAATAAAAAAATTATTAAAAAAAGAAAAGGTTAGCCATCATTGACCTTGAATGCAGTAGGAATTCCTTCTGAGTGCAAATGAATGCAATTGATGGTAAGTTTTATAAACATCAGAAATACAATGGAATTCACTTATAGTTTTCTTTTTTAAAAAATCCATTTAAGTCTATAATGACTGCTTTATCTTCAACCTGCTTGAAGCATTCTTCCCCACTTACAGTCTTGTTCAAATGGGAGAAAAACTTAAATATCTGTACTGAATGACCAGACTGTGTTTTTTTTCCAAGCCACAACAGGAAATATTGAGTGGGCATAATTGACAGAATCAGATGGAAGATACAGGGAGCGCTTTCACTTTTGGGGAACACCAGCTACTACCAAGCTGCTTTTAAACGAAAAAGAAAATGATTCAGAGCAAGATTCCTTTAAATGTCAAAATGTTTAAAAACTGACATTTTATATAAATAAATGTTTATATTATGTATTCTTTCCTGGAATTATTTGATACACAATGTATTTTGAATTTATTTTGCCCACAGTAACCAGTTATGGAATTTTAGACTCCATATTTAAAGGATTTATTCCCAGGTATTATCAGTGACCTAGCCAATCTAGCAGTTGAAAAGCATGTAAAAATGCAAGTGGAAAAAACTTTGGTGGGAAGGTAACAGCATTCCATGCGTGGTATCATGCCAGCCACATGACCATGGAGATGTCTTTGGACAGTGCTGGCTCTTCGGCTTTGTAACGGAGATGGGCACCGCCCCCTAGAGCCGGAAACAACTAGCATGTATGTGCAAGTCGTTTACCTTATTCTCAGTGAAGGACTGTCTTCTGATGGGTTCTAATAAATATAGTATGCACCTTATGGAACTACCTTCTCCTAGGAATACAGATGGCCCTGGGACCTGTTTTATTCTTCCACCAGGCACTGAGGCCCAAATGTTAAGCGATCTCTGCTTTGGGTGTGAATAATAAGATTTTTATAGGGGCTTCAGCTTGGGATTTGAGGGAACAGTTCACTTAATTGATTGAATGTGTGTGTGTGTGTGTGTGTATAGATAGATAGATAGATAGATAGATAGATAGATAGATAGATAGATA